ATCTCTTGATATTCCAACATCCGCAATATTTGGAACGCCTAAATTCATAGCTTCACTATTTGCTTTTTCTGTAGAATGATCTGTTGAACTACCGTAACTTTTAAAATAAATTCTTCCTCCCAAAATCACTTCAGTTGGTATGAATTGACCAAAATCCCCAACAATTTGAATAAATTTTTTAGGCATTTTTGATTCTATGGCATCATTTACACTCTTAACAAATTCTTCAGTTGGTATCAATTGATCCTTTATGTTAATATTTAGAGAGTATTTGCCATAATTTCTATAATGATAAGTTGAATTTATTTCCAATTTAGATTCCTTTCTGTTCATTATTCCAGCCGATAACTTTATAAAACTTTGCAATTTACTATTAATATTAAGTGTTAAATTTGTTTTCGTAACCATATCTTCAATTTCGATTGAATTGAATTCAACTGTATCTGATCAATATTCTTTAATACCAAGGTCGTTTAATTTAAACTCTTTCATAATAAACACCTTACAATCCTTGGTCTTAATACCGTCATTAGTTATGGTACGGCTATAATCTAATTTGTGTTTTTCATTCAAATATTTCCACAAATTTGAATGAGTTAAATATAGAATATATATTATATTATTTTGGACTATAATTTCTTTTAAGCGAAATTTTTTCTCTTCCGAATTTGATATTGATATTTTGGACACTTCATCAACATTTTGAGAAAAGGATAAATCGTCATTGATGAACTTTGTCACTTTCAATACCTTATGAACGTTTGATAAATTATCATCAAGGTTTAAATGAGCAATTTTTGGTGGCTTCGATGTTGGATAGCATATTTGTACCACTTTCTCTTTTCTAGTAAAGTTAAATGAAAACATTTTTTTTCTTTTAAAAAAAAAAATTTTTTCGTTAACTTTTTTTGGAAATCACACTTCATTATATTAACTAAAAACAAAACTGGCTGAGTTACATTGCTTTGTCTAACACTAAATTTGAATCGTAAAAATTTACTACGGCTGAAATTAGCTACAATCAAAACGTTGTTCTTTAAAGAATTTATTTTGCGAGGAAGGCAATACTTTTTTTTTTTTATTTTTTACAAAAACAATTTAAAGAGATGTATTTTACGAGAAAGAAATTTTAAGATAAGGAAACTCAAGTTATATAAATATAGAGATTTTTGCAAATTTACTCAAAATTAAAAATGATCAGCACGTTTTTGCACATTTTTTTTTGAAAAGTTAAGTTCTATATTGCGCAAAGCTAATACCAAAAATGATGATATCGAAACGTAATAAAAAATAAAAAAAAAATAAGGATATTTAGGATAATAACTATGTAAAAACCTTGCCGAAGGGATCATCATTAGCAAATAAGGCATTAAATATATTAAATCATTCAAAAGGATTTTTTTTTACAATCAAAAAATAAAAGTGAAAATACTAGAAAATCTTTGCTTTCCATTTACTTTGTAAAAACTTTGTGATGAAGGCATTTTATTGCAATTTTTATTTTATGGTACATTTTGTATTATTTTAACAGAGATGAATGTAATAATTGTCAATAAAAATTTTATAATTTCTTACCATATTTAAAATAATAATAAGAAGGAACTCACCTAAGATAGTAAAACAGCGGGTTTTTAGTCAGTTAATTAAATCAGAACTATATATGATATCATATAAAAACTTACTATCGAAATTTTTTAATTAAGACATGTATAGTATAATTGATACTGGAATGTAATATCGCAAAATTTTCAAATTTGAGCTTTTTTTTTGAAATTGGTGACGGTTTATAGAAATCTTAAAAATTTGATAAGTTATTCTTTTGCAACACCAAATAATTGTCAGTATTTTATTTTCGAAATATTTTTTTTCTATAAAATAATGGTTATAATGTTTATTCGAATCCACGGATATTTGACAATTGGATATACGGATACTGTTAACGCAATTTAATTTCTTGTAATACTGAGTTTAATAGTTGTTTAAATTTTATATAAACTAAACAACCACGATCAAAAGTCTTTTTTTGGTCATTTTACTTTGTTAATACTATGATGACAGGACGTATCTTGACGTGAATGTGTCAAATTATATATAAATTTATATGACGTGACGAATTGACGTTGTTAGTGATAGTCTAGTTATGACGCATTAATACTGCGCCAATTACAATTAGCGAATGATGATCCCGTCGAT